GTAGCATTTCTGATATTATATGTGGATGACATATTGCTGATCGGAAATAATACTGAATTTCTGAATAGCATAAAAGGATACTTGAATAAGAATTTTTCAATGAAAGACCTCAGTGAAGCTGCTTATATATTAGGCATCAAGATCTATAGAGATAGGTCAAGACCCTTAATTGGACTTTTACAAAGCACATACCTTGATAAAGTTTTGAAGAAGTTCAAAATGGATCAAGCAAAGAAAGGGTTCTTGCATGTGTTACAAGGTGTGAAGTTGAGTCAGACTCAATGCCCGACCACTTTAGAAGATAGAGAGAAAATGAAAGTCATTCCCTATGCTTCAGCCATAGGTTCTATCATGTATGCAATGTTGTGTACCAGACCTGATGTGTGACTTGCTATTAGTTTAGCAGGGAGGTACCAAAGTAATCCAGGAGTGGATCACTGGACAGCAGTCAAGAACATCCTGAAATACCTGAAAAGGACTAAGGATATGTTTCTCATTTATGAGGTGACAAAACACTGTGTCCCTAGTAAGCCTCTACTAGGCTAGCTCGTTAATCAAAGATGGTTAAGTTTCCTAACCATAGACATGTGTTGTCATTTGATGAACGGGATCACATCATTAAGAGAATGATGTGATGGACAAGACCCATCCGTTAGCTTAGCATATTGACCATTTAGTTTTATTGATATTGCTTTCTTCATGTCAAATACATACTCCTTCGACTATGAGATTATGCAACTCCCGGATACTGGAGGAATACCTTGTGTGCTATCAAACGTCACAACGTAACTGGGTGATTATAAATATGCTCTATAGGTATCTCTGAAGGTGTTTGTTGGGTTGGTATAGATATCGGAGAGGTATCTTTGGGCCCTCTCGGTAATGCACATCAAAAGAAGCCTTGCAAGCAAAGTGACTAATGAGTTAGTTACAGGATGATGTATTACGGAACAAGTAAAAAGACTTTCCGGTAACGAGATTGAACTAGGTATGAAGATACCGACGATCGAATCTCGGGCAAGTAACATACCGATGACAAAGGGAATAACGTATGTTGTCATAACAGTTCGACCGATAATGATCTTCGTAGAATATGTAGGAGCCAATATGAGCATCCAGGTTCAGCTATTGGTTATTGACCGGAAAGGTGTCTCGGTCATGTCTACATAGTTTCGAACTCGTAGGGTCCGCACGCTTAACGTTCGATGATGATTTAGTATTATATGAGTTATGTGATTTGGTGACCGAATGTTGTTTGGAGTCCCGGATGAGATCACGGACATGACGAGGAGTCTCGAAATGGTCGAGAGATAAAGATTGATATATAGGACGATAATATTCGGACACCGAAAGTGTTCCGGAGGGTACCGGGTACATATCGGGTCACCAGAAGGGGTTTCGGGCACCCCCGTTAAAAGATATGGGCCTAATGGGCCAAAAGGGGAAACACAGCAGCCGGCAGGGGCTGCTGCCCCCTCCCCCCACCCCCCATATGGGCCGAACCATAGGAGAGAGGAAAGAGGAGAAGAGAGAAGGAAGGGGAGGGATTCGACCTCCCCCTTCCTTCCCTCCTCCCTCCTCCTTCCTTTCCCCTCCGAAAATATAAACGTGGGGAGGGGCGCCTAGGACACACACCAACAATTGCTAGTCGTGTGCGGCGCCCCCTCCGCAGT